AATCATAAGATTTCTTCGTGGACACTCTGTGACATCACAGCCTCCCCCAGGAGTCTGCGGACCACAGGTTGAGAATCACTGATGTAGGAGATGACCAGGTTGAGGCGGTGTCAAATGCGTCATCAGTCATGAATCACTTCATGCCCACAAAAGATCTAAGTCCAGTCAGATTCTTGTAGAGAGCTTAAGCTTGCAATAAATCTTTACACCAATTTGAACTGTCTGGATCTCTTGATTTTCCTGGCGCTCCATGACAGAAGGTGTGTGAATGAAAACACAAACAGCACCTGTCACACTGAACAATTGCCAGAATTGCATACTCTACCAAGGAAGAATTTGAGAAGTCCTTTTATCTTTCAAAGTACATTTTCTTTCCAGAAGTTCCTACTAGATTGCAATACCTTTCAGAGGCTACTAGCAAAAAAATCTCTGCAAAAGTGATGGGCAATCTTAAAAGAGCTGCTATCATGGTGCATTATTATTAGATGCTATTTGTTATCTGTAATTTTACTAATAAAGTGCTTTTTAAAAAAGGAAACATATCTGACTCAAGCTTGTCTCTTGGTGACATCATAGACTTGTCTATATTATTTTCTCACAACAAGATGGAAGTGGTTTTCTATTATCTTTTTCCAGGACACTTTTTCCCCAAATTCACATCTAGCTAAGAACTCTGGAGGTCTCCCATTAAAGTATTAACCTGGCCTGACTCTGCTTAGCTTCCAAGCCCAGACAAGAAGAATCATGTGCTAAGATGAAACTGTTTAGTTAACGACATATTTTAATGAGTTGACACTGGCAAACTATTGCCCTCCAGATATAAGGGATTAAAACAACTTAAATTCTCTCAATTCTTACTTAAATCTCTGACCACATTTAATCCATGCTTAATTGAAAATGATGGATCTACATTCTTAAACACTGGGAGATTAAATATATATCTCTGATCTAAACAGATAATTATAGTTGTAATTTTGGACAACCTTATCTAGGAAAAGCAATGAATATAGGAAGGTTCGTTTTTTGATTCATAGAATCGCTCAGTTACACTTTTGTTTCCAGGAATATTTATCTGGGAGTAAGGACAATCCAGGATCCAAGCACAGGGACATTTCATTAAGCCTCAAGGTAACAGAATAAGAGAGTTGGAAGGGACTTGGAAGTCTTCTAGTCCAATCCCCTGTTCAAGCAGGAGACACTATACCATTCCAGACAAATCATTGTCCAATCTCCTCTTAAAAACCTCCAATGTTGGAGCACCCACAACTTCTGGAGGCGAGCTATTCCACTGGTTAATTGTTCTCACAGTTAGGAAATTTCTCCTTAGTTCTAGGTTGCTTCTTTCCTCGATTAATTTCCATCCATTGTTTCTTGTCTTGCCCGCTGATGCTTTGGAAAATGACCCCCTCTTCTTTGTGGCAGGCCCTCAAATATGCAGATGTCCCATTGTGGACTGCAGCTTCATCACGACATTTGGAGCTAAAATGGCACTTCATGCTTGAGTATATTTAGTGGTGCTTTTTTCCTTTAAAATTGTTGAAGATAGCCAGAAGTCATTTTTAGAGCAAAACTAATGCTATTTGAGCAGCTACCCCAGACTGTGGAACAGAGAAAATCTGATAGAATGGTTAAAATGGGGCTTTCATTTTCCAGATAAATGCATGCTTTCAAATGTGCCATGCTCTCATCAAAGGTTTCATCCCTGAGCTTTCATTAGCATGTTAGCAGGAGACAAGAAAACAAGTGAACGTACAAATTCTATAATAAGCAGGAACACTGATCTCAGGATAGCGAGAACGAAGGTTGCTTGTAGAAGTTACAGACCCCAAATATGGATGAACGTCTAATGCCATCAAATGTCACAACAAGGCCATCCGACATTGTGTACAAGTCACAAATATAATCAGGGCTACACAATACAGGCAGGTATAGGTGGCCCTTGACTTACGACCAAAACTGAGCCCAAAATTTCCATTGCTAAGTGAGACATTTGTTAAGTGAGTTCTGCCCCGTTTAACAATCTTTCTTGCCACAGTTGTTAAGTGAATTGCTGCAAGTGTTAAGTTAATACCACGGTTGTTAAGTGGCTTCCCCATTGACTTTGCTTGTCAGAAGGTTGCAAAAGGGGATCACATGACTCCAGGCTGCTGCAACTGTAATAAATATGAGTCAGTTGCTCAGCATCTGAATTTTGATCACATGACCACGGGGATGGTGCAATGGTTGTAAGCATGAAAAACAGTCAAGTCGCATTTTTCAGTGTTGTTGTAACTTCAAACAGTCACTAAACCAACTGTTAAGTCGAGGACTGCCTGTAGAGCTATCATTCCTACAAACAAAACTCTTCTGCACCCAGAATTAATCCATATCTTTAAAAAAAGAAAAAAATCACTCACAGAACCCAGATATATGATTAGGAGGGGAGTTGACCTCACCCACAGCAATTAGGAAGAAATGAAATGTCCAAAAGAGAAAGTCATTTGTTATTTAAGAATCTTGCATATAGCCAGCATTTCCTTCTCATTCCTCTGTCTTTAAGAGGACTAATGTTGTAAAAGAACCTAAAACTTTAGGTAAACAAACTGAAAGCCCAAAGCCAGGCTTTGTTATGTATACTTTGTGCCCAGACAGCCTTCTGCCTTTCGGCATTAAAATATTTCTTCATAATTCTTTCTTCCTCTTATTAGTATGCACAAGTGCATTTCTCTAGGTTTTCATTTTTGCCTGAAAACGAACTGCTGGACTTTTCTATATTGTGATTAATTCTGCATGAACAAGAAAAATGGCAATTCATCTTATTCATAGGACCTGAAGTAAATGGGGATTAAGTGGCACTGTTCTTAAGACACACCTTTCATCCGTCTAATTTTCTATCCAGCCTGTTTAACAATGTTCCTGATTATTGTTTGTTCAGGGAGACTGAAGGAACTTCAGTTGTTGCCATGGCTAAAAAAAAAAAATTTTAAATCATCTTTGTTGAGATCATGTTGTACCGTAAGTTTTAAAATCAGCAAGCATTCACTGTGTGTCACAGTGTTTTTCTCTCTGTCTCTCTTTTTTTAATTTTGCAAAATTTCAAATAAACCTAGAGGCTGGCTGATTTTGCAAAAGATCTGACACTGAAAGGTTTGCACAATCGTGAATGGAAAAAAAACTATATGTAGAACGACTCTTTAAAACTGGTCAAACCAGACTGGGAAAATCCGATAGACAAATAGATTTAACCTCTTAAGGTTATATTATATTTTTTTTCATGACCATGTAGGCACTTTGCACAATGGCATATATTCCAGGACATTTGGTTAACATCTAAAGCTTTGGGTCAGTTGCACAAGTTCAGAAGTAACATTTGAGGGGAAATAAATACATCTGTTTTCATTATAAGGAGTCCTCAATTTACACCAATTCATTTAGTGACCGTTCAAGTTACAACAGCACTGAAAAAAGCGACTTATGACCATTTTTCACACAACCATGGCAGCATCCCCATGGTCATGTGGTCAAAATTCAGATGCTTGGCAACAGACTCACATTTATGACAGTTGCAGTGTCCTGGGGTCATGTGATCCCCTTTTGTGACCTTCTGACAAGCAAAGTCAATTGGGAAGCTACTGTAGATTCACTTAACAACTGTGTTATAACTTAACAACTGCAATGATTCACTTAACTGTGGCAAGGTCATAAAATGGAGCAAAACTCACTTAACAACTGTCTCACTTAGCAACAGAAATTTTGGGCTCAATTGTAGTTGTAAGTTGAGGACTATCTGTATTAGCATCCTTATTTTAAAAAACAAAACTTTTAAAAAGTAAAACTAAAGTTTTACTTTAGTGATGGCACTGGAGAAGTAAATTTGGGTTATCATGCATGTTAGACAGTTATCTCTTCATAGCTGGATTTCCTCTGTTGGATTTTTTTTCACTTAGCCAAAACTTTCATGCCCTCTCCTTGAGCTCAGGGAGAAGTAGAGAAAACTTGAAGTTATATTCAGCATTTTATGAAAAAGGCTGAATTCAAATGAAGTGAGTTGCATTTCACTCCCAGTGGATTCAGAGAGAATTTTTCAGGACTCAACCCATAAATTTACATTGTTTTATTTAATCTAGATTCAACCATTATTTTTCTAACAACGATGATGAAGCTTGGGATAGCAGTACTTTTTTTCTACATCAGCAAGCCAATTGAAATGTTTCCAAATTTCTACCTATTGAAAACTGGGATTTTTATCGGCTATTCGTGTCAGAAGCCCCTTCAAATTATAAACATATAATGTTCAACACTGAGCAGATAAAATCATAGCTGAGGACTACAAGCAAGCTTGACAGTGCTGCCTCAAAGATTTTTTTGCAGATTTCTTAAATGGCCCTTGTCCCTTTCAGACACTAATTCTTGCTTGCAGTATTTGTAAGACAACTTTGCACAGCAGGGATTTTTACCCAACAAGGTGGGGTGTTTTTTTTTAATGAAGTTGTTTAGAGAGAAGTTGTTTAGAATTGTCCTAGAAGGGAAGCAAATTCTGATGAAACAAGGTGGCTTTACTTTGCTGAGTAGAGATCCATTTGGCTGGAGTTAATAACGTCAACCAGACAGAGACAAAATCCAGACTCTTCTATCGCAGGGAGTCATTATTCTGCAATAGTTGAATTATTTCCCCATGAACAAGACACGAAGGTGACTCATACAACTAGAGCAAGGATTGCAGCAGCCCTTCCCAACCCCAAAGGCTTCCCAAAACAATCTTCAGCATTGCGATTCCCCCCCCCCCCGAAAACTACTTTCTAAATATTTCTGCTCCCTCATGGCTGTTGACATGGAAACTGAGAGTGGTATAAAACCAAATGGTGCACTGGAGAACTTGGATCCATTCCTCCAAAGCTCAAAGTGGGCACAGGATACATTGAATGAGATCGGATGGCAAGGAGTAGAGTCTCCACATTACACAATGAATGTCACATACTACCCCCCCCCATGATTAAAAAGACAAAAAGTAGTCCATCAAGTCATATTGACATGTATGTCCTTTATCCATGGCCTCTCCCCTTTCTGTCTACAAAAATGAGCCTCAAAATCCAGATTCCACCATTTCTTCCTAGCAACATTATCATGGAACCGAATAAGGAAATGACATCCCATGGAAGACCAGGCTCTGTGGAGATCCAGCAAGCCTCTACACCTTGTCCATCTCCAGAGCAGATCATGCTGCCTCAATATTTTCAGAGAAGACCAATCTGGGTCCACTCAGTCTTGCAATGGCTGGACAAAGTTGGAGGGAAAGACACCTGTCCTTGTGCCATCACCTTCAATGAATCCAACCTGGAAGGAAAACATCTCATGAGGGTGAGCAACTACAAATAAAAAGCAGCAGCACATTAGGCTCTGATCCCAGTTTCTTCCCATAGGAAAAATGACAAGAACTGGATGTGAAGCAATCCTGCTTTATTAGATCTGCAGCTATGTAAGAGGTCTGCTCAAAATCTCTTGTTTTTTAGCAGAGGACAAAGGCTTGGAAAAAGCAGGTGGTATCAAAGATTTCTCTATTTCCAAAGAGGATTGTACACCTCAGTTCTCAGTTGCTTGGGGAGGTTTTGTTTCGCCCTCTCGTTTCATTTATTATTGAGTTCACATTTTCCAAGCTGGCACCTTCTAGTTACTTTGGGAATTCTAGTTCCAACACATCTGGAAGGTACCAAATTAGGATTGGTGGATCAAAGCCTAATAGAAAGGCTGAAGAGTGCAAAAGCTGGGAGGTTGTTTTCATTTGCCTAGTAAAATAATGGCTCTAACACAGATCCCCTAAATGAGAATTTCGTAATTGGGAAAGCTGGAGAACCACTGTCGATTAGGTAAACCAGAAATCCTCTTTGCAGGAAAGCTAAAACTATTTTTTATTGAGTTTGGCTATTGCAAGAGAATCTTGCAAGCCTGATTGTGCTCAAGCGCCTTGACCATCTTATACATTAGTGAATTAGGGATGTGCCACTTCCAAATGTAGTCTGGACTTAGAAGTTGCATCCCCTTTTCCCTAGCCAACAGCTTATGCATGTCTCTATCGAGGTCATTTTCTTTACTCTCTCTGCATGTTGAATTTTTAGCTCCCCTTTCTCCCAAAATGGCTCTTAAAAGTGAACTGATCTACAGGTAAAGATAAAATGAAATTCTCCTATATTAAGTCAGGGGCTGCGCGTAAGCAGGAGATTAGTTTTGGAGGGGAATATGAACAAAAATCATAATCTAGACTAGAACTTGAGTGTCCTTTGCAAGAATGCTTCCCAAGTGGTTTCTCTAAAGAACAAGCTTCTCCTTCTCTTCTGAAGCTAAAAGGAAAATTGCACTACCATCGTAACCCCCTGAGGAAAAGCAGCAAAACTCACCCAATTTTGTTCATCCTCTTCCCGTGTTACTACAATGACTTCGCCCTTGGAGAAAGTCAACTCCCGGGCCTTGCCCCCTTTGCAGTCAGCCAAAGCCTTGACTCGCTTTAACCGTCCTTTGGCCTGTGAAGGGCAGAACAGCCATTATCAGTTTTATGACAAGATCCCTTGCTTCCCCAGATGGCTTTTATGGCTGAAGAGGCAGAGAGGTGACAGCAGTGCTGGGTGTAAACAAAGTTGCATGAGAGCAGCAGCATGGGGCGTTCTCTGCCATAAGGAACCTTCACCAAATCTCTCTCAGTTGGTTTGATCACAGGGCACCCACTTGGGCAATGTATGGACTTCAATTCCCAGAATTCCCCAGCCAGCATAAGCATCGCTGAAAATTATGGGAGAAGTCCGTACATGTGGACCCAGGTTGAGGAAAGCTGCAAGAAAAGTCAAACACAATTCCTAGAAAATTAATGGGGATGTTCACATCATTCTGGCAGCAGTAGAGAAGTGGCGGTCTTTACATTCCTTCAGGATGCAATACAGGCAGTCCTTGACTTAAGACAGTTCACTTAGTGGTAGTTCAAAGTTACAGCGGCGCTGAAAAAGTAACCTATGACTATTTTTTACCCTTACAACCAGTGGTGGGATTCAGCCGGTTCGCACCACTTCGGCAGAACCAGTAGCTAATTTTTTGTTGCCCAGGCCCAGAATGGACTTCCGGAAGCGGCATCCACACAGAGAACCGGTTGTTCGCATATTTGAATCCCACCACTGCTTACAACCTTTGCAGCATCCTCATGATCATCTGATCAAAATTCAGATGCTTGGCAACTGGCTCTTACTTATGACTGTTGCTGTGTCCCAAGGTCACGTGATTCCCTTTTGCAAACCTTTTGGCAAGTGAAACCAATGGGGAAGCCAGATTCACTTAATAACTGTGTTACTAACTTATCAACTGTGGTAATTCACTTAACAACTGTGGCAAGGAAGGTCACTAAAATGGGGCAAAACTCACTTAACAAATGTCTTACATAACAACAGAAATTTTGGGCTCAATTGTGGTAAATTGAGGACTAGCTGTATCTGGGTTTAATTTTTATTGCCATTCCCTGCATCTATATACTACCAAAATCCTCATTCCCATAATCTCTAACTGGGTGAAATGGTGCATCACAGGGCAAAAACCTTTTCAGCCAAGGTCCTTCAAATGGACTAACTTTTGAAAAAAGTCCAAAATCTGGGACCAGTGACTCCCATGGAATTGAAATTTGGCAAATTGTATAAACATTTTGTGGCATAAAAATGATCCTAAAACAGGATCATTATGTCACCGTCAGCCATTCAGTCGTATCTGACCCTCAGTCACTCTATGGATCAGCACCCCTCATGCCTCTCTGTCTCACACCGCCTCCTTCAGATCCGCCATGGTCATGATCAATATGACATAATACAAAGTAGTCCTCAACTTGCGACCACAATTGAGCCCAACATTTATGTTGCTACTGTAAGTGAGACAGTTGTTGTCCCATTTTATGACCTTGCTTACCACAGTTGTGAAGTGAATCACTGCAGTTGTTAAATTAGTAACTCGGTTATTAAGTGAATCTGACTTCCCCGTTGACTTTGCTTGTCAGAAAGTTGCACAAGGGGATCACATGACCCTGGGACACTGCAACTGTCATAAATTTGAATCAGTTGTCAAGCATCCGAATGTAAATCAGGTGATCATGGCGATGCTGCAACGGTCATAAGAGTGAAAAATGCTCATAAGTCACCTTTTTCAATGCTGTTGTAACTTTGAACGTCACTAAGTAGGGAACTGTTGTAAGTCGAGAACTACCTGTATCAAATGCCATAAAACATTTCCTGTGCTGATGTTTGACTATGCTATATAGTTCAACAGTCAAATATATCCTGAATGTATCCCAGTATTTCCTATTATTGTGCTCTGTTATTGTTGAATTGAACGCACTGAGGAATTTGATAATGAAATATCTCTGAACAGATGGACTCAACAGGTCACAAGTTGTCTAAGTCTTACTATAGATCTAATTTTTTTTTTTTAACTGGCTCTCATTTTTGTCTTTTAAGACCTCCCCCTCCTCCTTGATAATCTTGGCTATAAGGATACTCGTATATTTTATATGCATAGACATAAATGAACAACAATTTTAGCTGGAGGAGTCATTACTTTAAAAATGGAAAATTGACACATCCTCATATGTGTCTAAATTGACAGGGAGGCCTTTCAGATCCTGGAACCATAACACAAATGGGCATTCAAAGGCAATTGCTCTCCCTTGCCAGCACAATATTACCCTACACCCGCTACGGTCTACAAAACACATGGTAGATCCATCACTGCCTCCTGGCATGTGTTCTTATTTTGAAACTTGGAGGAAGATGCCAACTACGTCTCTCCCCCGGCTTTCTGAGATCGCTGCCATCAGCTCTAAGGCTGAAATGGACACCCATCTATAACCGAGCCCAGATTGCTGCCCAGTGATACTATGGATAGCATAATGCTAGAAAGGAGACCCCCAACTCCAGACCAGGCTGCTCAAGCTATAAAAAATCACGACCTCTTGCTGTCTCTCCACAACTCACTGGAGCAAATCTTCTTGGCGTTGGCACAGGCAGAGGCGTTGGCCCTGGCACCCCAGTTTTGCACAAAGGCCCTTCTTCTGGGCAACCGGGGCTCTGCGGGGAAAGGGGGGTGCCAGAAAATTTACCCATCGAGCTGCTACTAATCCGTCGATAGGACCTGGTGCTCTCTGAGCTGTAGGAGAAAAGAAGCTGTCTCAGAAATCATTCCTGGTGGTGGGGAGTTCCTTCTCGTGTGACTGTCGAAAGGGATACCTGTTCAGCATGGGGAATAGACCGCCTAAGCTCATGGTCCATCTCACCTTCATGGTAAGAGTGGTTTAAGGCTTCCTCAGAAGAATTACTTAATGGCCATTTCTCGGGGATGCTCCAGTGGTGGGTTCCTCCACTGAGCAGAAGGGTAGATGATCTCCGAGCTGCTTTCTAACCCTTCCATTCTTCAATAGTCACTTGGCCAAGCACAATGATTGAAGTTCTTCTGTTGAGTTAGTGTTTAATCTTGTTGCATTGAACAGGTCCCAGAATTTAAATTCAGACAGAATGCTATGCCATAAGCACTGACTTCCAAGCCATGCTGTCTGAACACCACACAAAGACAAAAGCGAAAGAGCCACATTGTGGCTTAGCCTGACATATGAATCCTGCCAAAGTGTGGTGAGCTCCAAGGAAGACATGCAACGGATGGAACCAGGAAGTAGGCAGATCAGGGAAGATGTGAGACAGTAAGCCAGGAGCATGCTAGAATATGAAACATTTCAGTGGAACAAATCAGAAAATGCACAGCAAAGTATAACAAACAGTCATTGCTGTTCAGGCTTGCCACTGTTACTACTGTTAACTAGATAGGCAGGAGAGCCGCTTCATCACAGAGTATCTGAAAGTGACTTTCTGTGAAGAAGAAAAGAATCTGCTTTGAGAATGATGGTGTTCTCCATTTCTTCTTTTGCAACCCATTCTCATCATAAATCATCATTGCAGAAATCCCCAAACATTAAGAATTGATTCCTAGTTTGTTTGTTTGTTTGTTTATTCTCATGTTCCTTTTCTTTCTTCAATCACTTTCCTTTTTATGCTTGGTCAAAGATTTGGTCAAAAGCCTATTTTGTTTCTCCTTACTGATTTATCAGCAAAACCTATAGTAGAGGACAGAACCCACATCTGGTACAGATGTTACAATAATGTATGTGTGCAAGCAGGAAGAACGGGGAGGATATCTTCTCAAGTTACAATTTTGAATTAATATCTAAACTAAAAAGAAGTCCTACTTTTTTGAAGAGAGAGATTATGCTTTTATAGATATGAATGGCTAGAAGGTGCAAGCCTAAATAGATATAATAGATATTATTAAAAGGAAGTAATATTAGAAACAACACGCATATGGCCTAATTTTGGATCTATTTATATATAACTTTTATAGTGGTGTTTGATTAAAGCAAGCTGCCAGATTACTGAAGATTCTCCTCAATGCCCCTCCTTTGCAAATACTGTAAAAATATTACAGTATGTTTGTTTATTTGAGAAATTAAATACTGGCCGTCTTCATAAGGAAAACTATTATTGTGTCAATGGCAATGGATTCAAACATGTAAGCAACATATGAAGCTCCATACCTGGCTTGGATTCTCCACCAGCTAGATTCATGTGACATGTAAGCAAAACAACCATGCTATGGAAGGCTTAATGCAACAGCCTGGTTCATGCGACATGCAGGGAAAATGGCTGGGTTGCAAACACAGAGAACTAGAAATTATTCTCTAAATTAGACAGTGCAGTATGTACCAGACTACATACTGCACTAATTCATAGTCTGGTTACTCATAGTATATTCAATAAACTCCAGTTGCCTGGCTCCTTACTTGCTGAGCTACTAATGATGGTTTACAAACTGTAGTGGCTGGGTTCTCATTACCCTAACCCATTATATGATTGGCTTGCTTTGGCTTAATCAGAGACAACAGAAGAAACCCAAGTCCTTCCATAGATTTTAGCTGAAAACTATACAAACATTGTAAACTGCTGCTAATAATAGCAATAGCACTTAGACTTATCTACCACCCCACAGTACTTTACAGCGCTCTCTGAGCAGTTTACAATGCCAGTGTATTGCCCCCAATAATCTGGGTCCTCATTTTACTGATCTTGGAAGGATGGAAGCCTGAGTCAACCTTGAGCCTGTCGGGATCGAACTCCAGGTTATGGGCAGAGTTAGCCTGCAGTACTGCATTCTAACCATTGCGCCACCAGGGCTCAACTTACTAAGCTGCTCAACTTAAAACTGATTGATTTTTATTTTATTATGAGATGTACATGGCCACCCTTCTCATGGACAACATGCAACAATCTGGTCTGATAACTTCTGGTCTCACCTGAACCTGACTGGGGGCATCTGTCCTGGTTCAGGAGAGGTTCCAGGGGAAGGCTGCAGAGCTATCATCTGGACAGGCTCTGATCTTCGCCGTTGGGCGGCACCCTCGGCATCAGAGCAGGTTTCCCAATAGGCTGTGCCTTTGACTTCCATAGAGTTACGGAAGTTGGGTGATTGCCGGAATGGGCCACCCTCCAACACACTGGAGATGCTGGAAACCGATGAGTTCCAAACGTCGGGGCTGTCTGGTGAATGGGGTAGTAATTCAGAGGCATCTGGAAAGCAAAGGAAACAATCACTCACGGGAACAGACGCTCTAAACCCATGCTAGCTGGGGAATTCTGGGAATTGAAATCTACAGGATGACAGGGATGGACATCCCTGCTTTAAATAGTTGCTTTATCATGGCAATGAAGCCAGCCATTTGAAGAGTAATGGGGGATTTGTTGCCCATCAAGATTTCACGTATTATCACTTCATATCACTGGTCATTTGGGCCCTAGTTCTTGAGCACTCTAGTTCAACCATACTTTCAAGATCATACATTTCTCAGCCCTGAACTAGAATATATCAGTCCAAATTCTTAATACGTATTGTAAAAAATTATTGTACAACCCGGAAGGATGCTACAAGCATCCTGTTGGAATGAATGGGATGGCAATGCACAGCTTTGACATTTCCCTTGGTTGGCTTGCCAACATTTTTGCTTCACCTGGTTTTGGTCTGCTGCTCCCTTTGGGGGGCTTTTTGAGCGGCAATGGTGGTGGGGTCTTCTCACTGGTTGAGTTTCTCTGACCAGACTGCAAAGGGATCACAATGGTCTCGTAGGTCTTGTTGCTGATATCCATGCCAGAGCAGCCCCACCGATTTGAAGAGAAGAGAGTGGGCTGGCCGGTGGTTGGAGATGGTGAAGACCCAAAAGATCGCTGCAGTGGGCTAATCTATGTGACAAAGCAGAAGAAGTCATCAGCACCTGGAGCCCTATGTCACTTGCCCTGTATACCTTCTGCTTCTCCTTCATCCATTCCCAGTACTCTTATACCATCCAACCCTTCCCCAAAGAACTGAATCCAATAACTTTATGGCACTTGATACCCTCCATGCTATTAAGACTGAAAATAAGGAAACAAATTAATAGGAACAGGGCAAACATGAAGGTTGGTGGAACACAAGCAAGCAGACACCAGAAAAACAAAGCTAAGAAGAACATGGTAGGGTCAGGCCAAAGATCCATCTAATCCAGTGGTTCTCAACCTGTGGGTCGGGACCCCATTTGGGGTCGATCGACCATTTCACGGGGGTCGCCAAGCAAGGCTGTCCGCCATTTTTTTTGTCCGCCATTTTTTTTGTCCGCCATTTTCCCCCCTTTTCCGGCGGGTGCCTTACCTCCCTTGGGCTGGGCCAGCTGGTGGTCAGCCTGCTCCGTCTCTGCCACTTGCCAGCTACGCCTTGGCCGGCGCAGGGGGCGGAACCACGCATGCGCGGCGCTCCCGGCCAGGGAAAGTCCTCGACTTACGACCGGTTGGGTAGTCCTCAACTTACGACCGGTTTAGTCCTCGACTTATGATCGGTTTAGTCCTCGACTTACGACCGGTTTAGTCCTCGACTTACGACCGGTTTAGTCCTCGACTTACGACCGGTTGGGGTCGCGGCATTAAAAAGGTTGAGAACCACTGATCTAATCAAACATCTTATTTTTCATTGTGACCAACTGGCCTAGGGTGAATCCAGGCAAAATATGAAGCCAAATACCCCACTGTTGCTTGACAGAGCAACACGTGTGTCCTCTAAACTGAAGCTTGCAGAAGTTGGGTAGAAGTAAGAAGACAAAAGAAACACAGAGAGTTAGATGAGGAGAAGATGGGGACCTTATTACTGAAGCAAGAGTCAATCTGGCTATGTTCTCACAATATGCTAAAGCAGGCCAGGTGCTGATGACATCTTCTTTTTTGTCTGATAAGATTTAGCAAATGCACTTGTACAATATACTGAGCTTGTTTAGGGGGAATCTTGGTGGCTTAGCTTGTGATGAAAAATCAAGCTTATTTGGTCAATTTATGGTTCGGTAGAAAATGGGTTAATTCAATCACCAGCTTAAGAACATTGAAGGAATGCAGCCAATGTGTTGAAGACCTCTATAAAATCCTTCCTTGTACAGCCTAAGGTCAACCAACCTTTTGGTGTTCCTTTTCACAACCAGCTAGAGGAAGCTGAAGGAAGCTACAGACAAAGCTTTAATATCACTGCCATGTTTCTTGATAGAAAGGAAAACTGACACGGGACTGTCCCACCTGGAACATTATATGATGTGACACAAAAACAAATGGAATTGTTATCCCAGCACCTTTTCATCTAGCTCATCTTCACTGTCATACGAGAACTCCTGAGAAGTTTCCCAGTCGTAGTCCACATGCATAGCCAACTTCCCAGCCTGGGCCTGCTCCAGCTATCACAAAAGGATAAAAGAACATCCTTGGTCAGTTCATCATCTAAGAGGTTCTTCTATTTCTTCAAAGGTTATGATGTCGTTCTCCAGGCTGACACCATGCAGAGGAAATCCTCTGCCTTAGACAGCAGTCTGAGAAAAGCCCACCTCCTTTGGAGCTCCCATCCAGGGTCTGATTCTCCCAGTATCAAAGACCTTCTGACTGGTTGCTCTCTCCAACATCTCAGTCTACGTATTCTTCAAACTGAGACCTTCCTGCTGTAGGAAAGTTGTCAATGCAGCCTGGCCACTGGTCAAGAGGATGGCTATTGTGAAGTAACATTATCTGGAAGGCACAATTCTCCCACCTAAGGTCTTAGGCCCCCTTACCTCCACCTACCAAGTCTTTGCATTCAGCATTCTTGAATCTTCTTGCCATATCTAGAGGCGTTTCACCAGCTGCATTTACTAGAGAAGAACCAAAAAGACACACCAATCTGAATCTGGAGATTTTCAAACAACGTGCTCCACAAACAGCTAGGACAGATGCATCATAATTCTGTGTGGTGTGTAGACATTTGCACTTCATAGGGATAATCACATTAAGCTTATTATATACAGTATCTTAATAGAAATATGATGGTATTACATTCATCAAAGCCCAGCCACCCAACCTTCCAGTATTTGCCCACCATATTATTCAACTGATCAAAGAAAGCATTTCTTTTTAAAGAATCCCCAAACTTTTCCATGGAAAAAACTTTTCTGAATCTACACTTTTACAAGATGTTGCAAAGGATAATATTCTCATCCAGCCTGCAAAATTCCATTGACAGGACCTGACCAGACAGCTATATTTTATTTTTATTCTAGCCCTGGCAATGGGCTCCAGTCTTCTATCATGCTGAGAACAATAGGCAGGTTTGGGGCCATAAAACAAGCTTGGCACACACAATTTATCCTCCAAGAAAGCAAGAATAAACAAGAAGCTCAGGAGGAAAATGTATGAGGGTTGCTTCTGGCCATCTGCCATCCAAGCTGGTTGCATCGCTCTGCCTTATGGTAGGATCGGGGGCAAACTCCTTGGCAATAAGACTCTGAAGTTACCAATCCTTCTCCCTCAGTTTCCAGCCAGGTGAGCATCCTACCTGCATTTGTGGAAGCTTTCCCTTTCAGCAACAACTTGATGCAATTGGGCTGATTATACTGGACTCCATAATGTAAGGCTGTGTTCCCATCTATAGTGGGTCGATCCAGATTTCCCCTACGTACAGATGGATAGCAAAGTGGCAAATTTCAGGTTTGTTTTTTTATATATGCTTTTATTTAGTATCCTATTGATGTATTCATATTAATAAATTAATAAAACTAAATGTTACTTATTTAGTAAGATTGCTTTTACTTAGTATCTTATTATGATTTATATTGATTGCTTATTTAATATCCGATGACTATCGGATATTGTATCTTATGATTTATGATGATTGTATTTTATGATTATGATCATAAGTTACCACGTTGCTTGTATGTACACTGAGAGCTTATGCAGCAGAAACAAATTCCTTGTGTGTCCAATCACACTTGGCCAATAAAGAATCATATTCTGTTCTGTTCTGTAAATCAGAGGTCCCCAACCTTTTGGGCACCAGGGACCGGTTCCGTGGAGAGAGGTTTTTCCGCAGACCGGAGGGTGCATGGTTTTGTGTGCTGCCTGCATCCCATGGATGGGGCTTTGCTTGCTTGTGCGGCCCATTTGTTGGCATGCTGTGGCTCGGTACTGGTCCATGGACCGGGGATTGGGGACCCCTGCTGTAAATCATGGAAAACCTCAGTTCTTAAAATGGACATAAGACACATTCTGCACAAGGAATAGATTTGTACTTCCAAAGTGAACTGCAAATAGAAACATAGCTTTGTTTGAACAGCCACCCTTTTCTCCCCAGTTCTGCCAGTGTAATTTTCCAATAAGTTTTACAACTTATATCTCTGAAGGTTGCAAATAAATTTGGGGGGTGAGAAGGAATTAAAATGGGCAGCATCTATTGCAAACTGCATCAGGAGTCTAAATAAGTAGAGATACTTGCTTCTTTGAAAACATGTGGCCAAGGCTAGTAAGTTTAATTCTTACTCTTCCCTCAATACAAATCATACTAGGAGCAGAAGAAGACTTCCCAGAAGAGGCCCCAGAATCCAGTAACAAGAATCCTTCAGTCTAAGACTTACCCATTCTGAATAATGAAATCCACCAATGGAAGGGAAGTTTTGTTGGCGTAGCGTACTGCCCAATGCAAGGCTGGTTCACCTTGTTCCTATTAGAAAAAAGAAGGAGAAACACTCTGCAAAACTTTCTATGATAGAGGTCAAACCAAAATAAAAATAAAAAGTGAACCACAAAGACATCTGAATTATATTACATCAAGTTGATAGCAATAGCAATAGCATTTAGACTTAGATACCACTCCATAGTGCTTTACAACACTTGCTGGGCAGTTTACAATATCAGCACATTGCCCCCAACAATCTAGGTCCTCATTTTATTGACCTCGGAAGGATGGAAGGCTGAGTCAAGCTTGAGCCCATCAGGATCGAACTCCAGACTGTGGGCAGAGTTGGCCTGCAATACTTCATTCTAACCACTGCACCACCAGGGCTCTTTACTATCCTAAGTTGATATTAAAGGATGCCTCATAGGTGTCAGATGTGAGCTTTTGTTATAACACCTATGCCATAGTGGCCATTAGCCAGATAAAACCACAAAAAATGAAGTTTTTTAAAATAGCCATTATTAAAAACCAAACCCTCAGAAGATTTGGATCACTATAGTGCCCAGGAACAATAAAACTTGCCTGTTTTCAAGATGAAAACTTTTATGTTAAAAAAAAAATCTAAATAAAAATCAGAAACGTGAAGGTCATTTCTCAAAGCAGCCATGTTTTTGCTGATTTCTGTTTCTTGGGCCTCACGCTTTGTCCCACTTACCTGACCTTCAGGACTCACAAGGGGTTTGGACAGATCATGGCCTTCAGCAAAAGCCTGGAGCAGTGCCAAGAGATCCCTGCTTCGGATAGCTTCCCAAACTCGGTAAGGATCTTCCTTGGTAGCTTTGTGGACATACTTGCGTTCCATATACTTTGCCATGATGAATTCCTTCCTGGTATTCCTGCATTTGGGAAGAGAAAAAGTTCTCCAAAAGTGTTTTTTTTTTAAACTTTAGAGCAGGGGTGGGGAGCAAAAGCCCTTTTATGACTTGTGGACTTCAACTCCCAGAATTCCTGAGCCAGCCATGCCAGTTCAGGAATTCTGGGAGTTGAAGTCCACAAGTCATAAAGGGGCCCTTGTTCCCCACCTTTGCCTTAGAGCAAAGTTCCCCAAACTTTCTGGTTTGATGTCCTGGAAGGAAAGGGAGCAGCAGGGAAATGTGCGCGCTTGAGGCTCCATGTGCACAGGGGCTGCACACACCCACGGCACATGCACTGGCACCTGTGCACATGCACAAACGGGCTGCGTGTGTCTGCATGACATTGGTGGTGGTGCTAGCATCCCCGCGCATGCACAAATGGGGCTGCTATGCCCGCGTGGCGGTGCTACCGCAATTCCCGGGGCCTGGTGGCCAATAGGCCACGGCCCAGTACCAGGCCACAGGCCATAAGTTGGGGACACCTGCCTTAGAGGTTCGTAAGAAGGGCTCAGCTCAGTCAGCCCTGTCTTCTATTACAGTGGTACCTCATTACTAATCTACTTGGTTCCGGGAGGTGTGATCAGTACCAAAAATGATGAATACCAAACCCATTTTTTCCATTAAGGAATACTGCCGTGAGTCACAAGGCAGCTGACACCGACAAGTTCTAGCTCATGCATTGAGTACCAAACAAACAATGAGTACCAGGACAACATTTTCAAGTCAAAATGCGATGAGTACCAAATTTGATGAGTTTCAAAGCAATTGAGTACCAAGGTACCACTGTACTTTCAATGGGCAGGTGCTTCTTTATCCATCCCCACTGTTTAGTCCTCAAGTAATTGGTATTTAGAAGCAGGGACTGCCAAGATTTGAAGGACTGGAGATGGCTGTGGATGTGATGCAGAGATGTATCGTCCAGGGGGAAGTCATTTTGAAGCCTAAAGACTGCTGCTAAGCATGACTCCAAATGTTACACATGTGAAGGAATGGATGTTATGTACAGAGCATCCATCATTAATTCTGATCTATGGCTAACAGGTAGCTAGATCCATGGCTAATAAGATAGTCTTGATAGACAACGGCTGGTAAAGCATTCAGCTGGGGAAAGCAAAGGAGCAGATTTCTAAATATCAGAGTTAAATTGCAAAGTCACAATTATTTGCTTATTTATTACATTTATATTTATTAAAATTGTGCACAGCTTGGGTAGCAACATTCAAGTTTTCCTATTGGTGAAAGCAGATTTTTTTTTGGGGGGGGGGGAAATAAATATAGAAAAAATAGCAAGACTAAGAAACGGGTGAATGTTTTTGCCCCAAGCTTGTCCTCATCAGATGTCTCCAAAGCCATCCCCCATCCCAACTCTGCCCCCACCAAAGCAATGCCCATATCACTTACATATCGCTGCTCGAAGAAGGTTTGGGGCTGTTCTGGATTGGCAAGGTGGCTTCCATGACTTCATTAAACTTGGCATTTCCAATGCTGACTGCCAGCTGTAAGTGAGACAAGAGCCATTGTGTCACTGGCAAGATAGGGAACCATCGTATCATATCAAGAGTCAAGAGCAGGGATCTTCAAACTTGGCCCTTTTATGACTTGTGGACTCCAACTCCCAGAATTCCTCGGCCAGGCACGCTGGCTGAGGAATTCTGGGAGTTGAAATCCACAAGTCATAAAAGGGCCAAGTTTGAAGATCCCTGGTCAAGAGCATCCGCAAGCCATTTTGGACTAGCCAATAAAGTAAAAACGAAGGCAAGAGGCTGAGAAAGAACACTTGGGGTGCTATTTTATACCCATCTCCATTTACAATCTAGAAGAAAGTTTGGCCAGTGTGGTATAGAAGAATATCATTACTATGGTTTGTCACATAATCTGCCAGATGTTCAGACTGAAATTGGCATTTTTCTCCGCCTTTCGAGTTCTTCCAAAGGACCTGGGATAGGCAGATGTGGATGCTTGATGGTGTTACAGATATCGTTGCAGGATATATAAGCTATTCCAAGTAAAGCTATCTTTAATTATTATTATTATGGTTAGTTGCACAGTCAGCCAGATGTTTAGACTAGATTTGTTGTTATTATTGCTGCCTTTTCTCAGGAGGTCAAAGTGAGATATTCTGGCTTGAAAGAGAATGACCAGTTCAAAGTCAGTTTCCATGGTTGAGAGTGGACATGAACCTTGATCTCCTTCTCTTAAGTCCAGGACCTTAACCATTATGGATAGTCCTCAAATAGCAGAAAGAAAATGTTCTCTCCAATCTGAGAGTTAGCACTTACCAACAATTCCGATGTGCTGAGCACATCTAGTGTCAAAGATTGGATGCGGGAATAGTGAACCCCTAACTCACGGTGAATCCCTGAGCACTCAATACATGTCAAGATGCCAAGGTTGGTGGAGAGCCAGGTGGGATCTGCAAGACAACAACCCAGGAAGAAGCTGTGACATACACATAACGACACGTCCTTCCCTTACTCATACTGCAAACAGGCATTTATTTCCCAGTTCAATGAAACACATAACATGCCCCAGTTCTCTACTGCAGATGAGATGCTCTTCACGACCTACTGAGACATTCTGAAATTTGTCCTTTAAGCCTGCTGCAACAGTTGCAGTCTAGCATGCCCTTGACCTGGATTCTACAGTTGTGCCATTTTCCATTCTCTCTCCCCTGCCCTTTACTACATTGAGCATTCTCTGCCCTCGGATTTCCAGGTGATTTGTCAGTCAAATCATGTTAGGCCACCAGAGTGGTGGGAAAGTTATCCTGCTCTCTCAAGCAGGATCTGAACCAATCCAATCTCAATCCAATCTCATCAGTCCCAAGTCCCCTAAATTTATAGGGAGTTCTCAACTTACAACCATTCATTTAGTGACTATTCAAAGTTACAATGGAACTGAAAAAAGGGACTTATGACCCATTTTCACACTTATGAACGATGCAGCATCCCCACATTCGTGTGATCAAAATTTGGGCACTTGGCAACTGGCATGTATCTATGACGGTTGCACTGTCCTGGAGTCATGTGATCATCCTTTGTAATCTTCCCAGCTGGCTTCCAGCAAGCAAGTCAATGGGGAAAGCCAGATTCACTTAATGGCTACACAACTCACTTAACAACTGAAGTGATTAACAACTGTGGGGAAAAGATCATAAAATGGGGCACAGCTCACATAACAACTTTCTCGCTTAGCAGTGGAAATTTGGGGCTCTATTGCAGTCATACGTTGAGGACTGACTGTAAGTGGTGGGATTCAAATAGGTGAACAACCAGTTCTCTGTGTGGATGCCGCTTCCGGAAGTCCACTCTGGGCCTGGGCAACCAAAAATTAGCTACCGGTTCTGCCGAAGTGGTGCAAACTGGCTGAATCCCACCACTGTCTGTAAGTGCTTGAGCACATGGGAGCCCTTGCACAAAAAAGGATGCAGTGGGCTGCTGCAACCCACCTGGGGCTCCACAGTCACAGCACCATCGATTTCCTGGCATGTTTTTCACTTCGTCAATGATGAGCTTGGTGAGTTCTTGCAATCCGCTGTTGGCCATGCCGCCCGCTGAAGACACGGAGCCTCCGGGGTCCCCCTTGAAAGCATTGCTAAGGGCTTCGTCCTTACTGTTCTGGAGCACCGAAACCCACCTGTCCAATGGAAGAAAGCACCAACCAGATGCAACTGATTGAATGAAGGAAGTCAGCATATGTGATGTAACTGTTTAATCCAAAGGCCACAATTCACATCAATGTATGTATTATGTGTGGGCTTGTACACAGTCAGCAAAAAGGGAATCTGTCCCATGCTGTAATCAGCCATTTTGGAATGTCAGATCCCATAAATATAGGAATGGGTGGATGAGAGTCAAGTATTTACGTTTCTGAATTATTTGTTGTATTCCTTCTACAACAACAGCAAGTATATTAATTGTGCTTAATTGAATAAATGGCCTATATACTGTATATAGAACACTTACCCTATTCTTTTTAATTGATGTTTTTTAAAGTAACCGATAACTTATATGTATTTTTTTAATTCAAGCCTTACAAAATTGACTACGTATTTCCATCATACGTGTACCATAGTATTATGCGCTCTTTCTATATAATTTTATTATTGTTATCCTTCTGCTCTGTACTGTACGCTAAATAAATAAATAGCATGTATATTATCCCTGGCTGGTAAGTTAAGTTCCTTTTGGCCACATTCCCTCCCTGTGAAGTTATCAGAAGAGCATTACAAGGAAATGGACCTTGTCCTGCTTCATTATAATGTAAACACATTTCATGAAAGGCCTTGGCTCTTAGCAAGCTAAGCATATGTATTGGCATACCCACCAAATGTGTGGACTTCAGTTGACAAATTTCAAAGCTGGCATGGTGAATCCTAAGAATTTTGAGGGTTGAAGTCCACATGCCTGGAAAACCTCTAGGACAGTGTTTCTCAACCTTGGCAACTTTAAGCTGTGTGGACTTAAGCTCCCAGAATTTCCCAGCCAGCATTGCTGTTTAGACTTCAGCTCCCAAAATGCTGCTGGGGAATTCTGGGAGTCGAAGTCAACACAGCTTAAAGTTGCCAAAGTTGAGAACCGCTTTCCCCGTGTCTCATCTCAGCTGTTGGATAAACTCCTCTATCTGGTAATGTCTGTGCTAGATTAGTCGTACCCCACCTTTACAGTAGCCTCTGCGATTGATAACCCCTTCCTGCAGTGACTTTATCAAGGTATTTCACCCCTCCATCTGCCTTCGCTCACCCACTAGCCTCCTCAATGAGTCTGCAAATTTGGCAGAAAGGAACTGAGAGTAAGAGAAAGGAGTATCCAGGTCTTAATTTATTACACAAATATAATAGACATAAGTAAAGTAGAAGACCTATTCCATTACTTCACTCCTCAAGTAATATTTCTAGTTCACGGTTTTCCCATTCAAAAATGCAACAAGAGACCGAGAATCCTCAAACTTACACTATACAGTCCTGCTCTTCTTCTGCTTGAAAGTGGTATGTTCTATTGTCTGCGAGAGAGAGAGAGAGAGAGAGAGAGAGAGAGAGAAAAGAAACAAGAGAATCCTTTGAAGATAAGAAACAGATAAATAATAGTGGTGGCACTTTAAAAAATTAATCTTTATTGTTAGTGGGAGAAGCTGGAGAGAGTACAGAGATAACATAATGAAAGCAAATATTAAATATGCAAAGAAGTCTGCACTGGTTTTTTTTCAGCTTTTTCCACACACACACACACGCACGCACGCACACAAGCGCGCACACACACACAGAGTGGTGCATGGGTAATATGCCTGTCCTTTTCCCCATCAGCAACTGCAGAAAGCCCAAAATTGTTGTAAAAATTCAACAGCAAAATTCCTTATTTTTGGCAGCATTATTTTGTATAGGCTTTAAATAAGAATGTTTATAGGCCTGGGAGCTCTCCAGAGACCAAAACCCTTGCTTATTTATACTAAAATATTGTTGAATCATGCAACAGGATTTTGGAAATTTTGCCTCTGAATTTTAGTTATACAATTTGAGGCTCTTCTGGACACAGTCCAGAACTCTGTCCTAGGGATTCATACCTGGTAAAAAAAATTAACTATATCCAGAGGGTGCTTATTAATACAGAGGGTTTCCCTATGGCACTCTATACAGACTTTGAGGAAATAAAACATAAAGACTATTGTCATTTTTTACATTTGATGTTGAAGAAGGTTCTTGAGAACACCAGGGATAGCCAAAAAAAAACACATGGATCACACAACACAAGCCAGAGTTGTCACTAGGCTTTGATATGATAATTATATAAATGTTTATCATGTTTTGGACACATTATTTGAAGACCTAACTCTCTGCAGCAGTCCATAAAGCTCAGAAAAGTGGAAGGAAAAGAAGAAAAGGACAACGATGGATGGGTCCAGTTGAATCAATGATAAGGACACCACTGGAATAGCTGAAGAACCAGGCTGAGGCTAGATGACCCCGGAGAAAATCTATCTATATGATTGCTAAGAGTTGACACCAACATAATGGTGTGTATCTATTATAATCATATCAAGCTGAACCATTTAAGCTGAAGAGTCAAAAGACTTTCTATTGACTCTATGGTTCACCAATGACTTAACTGAATGATGGAGCAAATTCTTATCCAATGTTCACAAATAGGAATAATTAACATGTCCCAAAAGACAGAACATTATCAAAACAAAGTTCCACATTTCAGGAAAGTATGTAATAGGACTTGAAATATGCACAGTGGTGTCTGCAAAAGAGGCAAGATGGTGGACATGGTAGAATGTTTGAAGTTATGTTCCTTTTGTGCATGGACCTTTGACATTAACACATGTGCCAAAGAGTGGGGCTTATCTGTGTCTCATCCATAAACATGCTTCTTTTTGACCTCTTCTTGGAAATGTTGATGGTTAGATAAATTGTAACCTAAGAATGAGTTGGCAGTGCAATGCAACTGCAAAAAAATATATGTGATTTTAGGCATTATTAATAACACCCTAGTTTTCAAGTCATGAGAATTAATTATTCCAGTAGTTAGTCACCAGAGCAAAACTCATGAGCAGTGTAGACAGAATGAGGACTGCTATTGGCAGATAGATCATAGTTACTCCTACGTAGACTCTTGCATATGTTTCCCTGTATATAAAAAAAAATCTCTACCCTTCGTAGCCATGATGAGTAGGCGGCAATAACAATTTCTTTTCACTTTAATCTAATTCCAATCGTTTCAAATAACTGTCTCCAACCAATTTTAAACTTAACATGAAAGAAATGTGAGAAAAAGCATTCTGTTCTGAGCTATTCCGGTACAAGATATTTAAAGAGGACAACACAGCCATAGTAATATGATAAAATATTTACTTACGGGTCACAAGATCAAAGGATTTTTTGTCCTCTGGATGAGGCCTCACTTGGCAAGTCAAGAGATTTAACTTTACTGGCGGACGGTTTATCTGTTCAAGAAAAGATGGGATGATGAACCAGTATCTCTGTCAAATACAAATATTCCAGGTAGTCCTCAACTTACTACCTCAGTTGAGGCCAACATTTCTGTTGCTAAGCGAGACATTTGTTAAGTGAATTTTGCTCCATTTTAGAAGCTTCCTTACCACAGTTATGAAGTGAATCACTGCAGTTGTTAAATTAGTAACTCGGTTATTAAGTGAATCTGCCTTCCCCATTGACTTTGTTTGTCAGAAGGTCGCAAAAGGGGATCATATGACTCCGGGACACCGCAACCGTCATAAATATGAGTCAGTTGCCAAGCTTCCGGATTTTGATCATGTGACCATGGAAATGCTGCAATGGTCATAAGTGTGAAAAACAGTCATAAGTCGCTTTTTTCAGTGCCGTTGTAACCTCAGTCACTGAATGAACTGCTGTAAGTCGAGGACTGCATATATTTCCTAATTTGTTTATCATATTCTTGGCTTGAGTAATAATGGACAAATATTACCAATAAATCAAATTACCAACATTTACTCTAATTCTATATTAAAGAGATTTAATTGCCGTGTGGCACAGAAGGACACAACCAGATGTACAGCAGACAATATAATCAGATAAAGACTGAAAGTTTAAAAAGCATGCAATTATAAAGAAGTTCACCAAAGTTCTCAGTGAATTAGCTTCTTAAGACCTGCCTGGAAGTTGCTATCACATAAATATTTCAGTGGATTTGTGTGCAGTTTCCAAGGTTTTTAAATACAATTTAAATAGCCATCTATTCCACTTTTTATTCTATTTCTCTCTAAACTTTACTTTCAATTTTCATGAATGGTTGATTTCCCCCCCCCCTAAAAGTTTTGTAGCCTAGGCAAGACTGTCAACAATGTTCATTTGCTACCATCTCTACAGTGACATCTACTTTGCAGGGATCCAGCCTGTCAAAGACAGCCATGATGGATTACATCTTTAAATTCCTCATGTGAGAAGACCTGGGGCTTACCAGAGCACATTCCAAGAGAATATGATACATTCTCATTACAGAAAATAGTATCTTGCACCTCCTTGGAGGCCACAATCAAATAAAATGCAGGACCTTTTCCATTCCATTCTTGTTGGCTATGTTCAGGCAATAGGTTTAATCAGGTCATTATAAACAGAAATGTGCAAAAGCCCTCATTCCGGGAACAGAAAATTCTGGAGAATTCTAGAATGTTCTGTTTATTTCCAGAACACACCAGAACCTCTTTCCAAACTACCGTATGCTGGGCTGGGGATGGTCCTGTGGAATAGCCTATCCAGAAAGATGGGCTTCTGGGCAAGCCTGTCAGCTATGTTCATACCACAGACTTTTAGTTCTTTTGTCCAGTCTTAGCACGTTCTTTGCATCCATCCTGCTTGGTTGATGCATGGTTCAATGTACTATGCAAAACCAAAACATGGATGAAACCAGAGCCAGGTTAAGCATACAAAGAGATTAGTTTGAATATTTCCCAATGGTACATCAACATGAAGCAGAATAGAACAGAATAACAAAGTTGGAAAGGACTTTGGAGGTCTTCTAGTCTACACACACACTCAAGCAAGGGATCTTATATAATTTCTGACAAGTGGCTGTCCAGTCTCTTCTTAAAAGCCTTCAGTGATGGAGCAAATTCCACCCTCCACCCCACTTACTGTGCTATGAGAAATAGTGAGACATCCGTATTTCACCCCACACTTTCTCTTCTGCCACACCTTCCGAATTCTAGGACAAGCAAAGAGGAAGGACAAATGAACACAATATTGAGAATTAGCCTGTGTCAGAGGCCATCAAATGGACATGTTATAGTTCCTGTTTTTATAGATCTGGGTTTGCCACCCTTTGCTACCAGAACCTCTTATCAGGAATGAATCTGTCTGTCTGTCTGTCTATCTGTCGGTCTACTACTAAAGATATAGGCTGCCCAAATCTGTCATTAAGCAAACAAGGTGGTGGTAAAAAAAAATTGAATAAAATGCTTTAGCACTGTAGAAGCCAAACAGGAATGTGCAAAATATACCATTTAGGGAATTGAACTTTCCAGGAAACAGAAGAATGATTTTTTTTGGCCTTCCAGACAATGTTAGTCCTTGATGCTCTCTGAGCTTGCTTGTTTTGTTGCAGACGTTTCATTACCCAAATTAGGTAACATCATCAGTGCTCGTGTAGTACTAATGATGTTACCTAGTTTGGATAATGAAATATCTGCAAGAAAACAAGCAAGCTTAGAGAACACCAAGGACCACTCATGTCAACCCTGAGCTACAAATATTCTCCTTTATTAATGTCAGTCTGGCAATTCCAGGGCTGATCCAACATGATTTGTGGCGTCACAGACATGGCCTGGCAACAGCATGATCCAGGGGAAATAAATGAGATTCTAGTATTCCTGAAACAATTCATTTCTTAAAAACGATACCTTTTGTAGCCATCCTCACTTAACATTGTCACTGTAAGGCAAACTTTCCCAAGCAAAATATCATAGGCCTACTTTCTCAGATGTAAGAAATGGGATAGAACTAGATGACAATCCTTTTCTGGAGCTGTGCCCAAATATCTAATTTCTGAAAGATGTTCTCTTGATGAGATTATGACAGCTTTGGAAAGAAGAACGGAGGGTGGGCAATCTACAGGTTGCCCTTGAAAACAGGGAAAGAGTTTGATATCTCAGAAATGAATGGGTTAATTAAAATAAAATGTTGATAAGGCATTTTGGAAAATGCTGTCTTCCTTTCAGTCAGTGGGCACTCCCATTTCATGTCAACTTCAGATCTTTGTTTTTACAGAACATTGGTTAGTTTTGAGATCTGGGTCAGCTTTATTTTCTTTTCTAGCTCCCACGGTAATTTATTTGAAATCAGAGCAAAGCCAGGGTTTCTTTGCAAGTTTGCAGTCTGTGGGCGGTCCTTTCCTCCATCTGCAGCTTAGACATAGATATGTGGATATATAGATACACACACAAACACAAAACCAAGCAAGTACACTTAGCATAAGTACTGTATGTGGTTTGGAGGGAAGAGAGTGAGTTGTAATCTATTCATTTCATTTCCTTTTTAGGTGGTGAAGGGGAAAGGACATGTTTGTTCTCAAATATCTGTAGTGGTTCGGAAAAAGGTTATGATTCTTTGACACGTAACATTTTCCACTTGCACAGAAGGACTGGGAATGGGAATAACCGTGGCTTACAAATGCCTACTTCCACCCATCCCATCCGGTGATGCAGCACAAAGCACCCTGAGAGCTTACCCATCACTTTTCTTATATAAGAAACCAGACTTCTCAGTCCCGTACTGTTTATTGCCTTGATGCTGATGGATGCTGTACCCACTGCCAGAGTTCTTTCTGTTGAGGTTCTCCTGAATGCAAGAGAAATAAATTTATTTCATAGGCTAACTTGGGCATCTCCCAACATTGTGTCAGCACTCTGAAGATTTTGATAAGAGTTGTGGTTCCCCTGGCAAGATGGCTGCCAGTGGCTCACAAATTCATGCAGCAGAGAACAGCTCTGGTTTACCATCTTGCTATTTTAACCCATCCTTTAGCCCAGCGTCTCTCAACCTTAACAACTTTTAAGATTTGTGGACTTCAATTCCCAGAATTCCCCAGGCTAGTATGGCTAGATGGAGAATTCTGGGAGTTGAAGTCCATAAAAGTTGCTATGGCTGAAAAATACTGCTTTAGCCTCATCTTCATAAATGCTCTCAATTATTCTGGCTTCTTGCTGTCCATTTTGGAATGCTAGGTAGATGCATTTACCCAAGAAAGCCTTGGGATATATGCAATTACTTATTTATTTGTTAAATTTATATGGCTGCTCATCTGATGAAAAAGTAACTTTGGGTGATTTGTAATAAAATTAATAAAGCAACTAATATATAAAAACAGTTATTTAAAATAAAAACAAAAACAGAAGGCCAAGAGGAAACAGGAGATGTTAATAACAATGGAGCCACCTCATAGACCATATTACTGGACCCCTGGAGACCCCAAGCCTGATGGCATAACCAGATTTTGAGTGAGTTCCAGAATATCAGCAAGGATGGAGCCAACCTCACTTCAAGGACAGAGGGATGACCCATAGGGCAGACACCACAGCAGAGGATGCCTATCTTGTGAGACCCACCAAATGTAGCTTCCTAGCCAACAGGACTCATAGCATACCCCAGATCTGATGGGACAGGCTGATATAATTTGGGAGAAGAATCCCTCAAATAATCCAACCCATGCCATGACGGGCTTTTAAGATCAAAACCAGCACCTTGATTTGGACCTGGGAACATTTCTCTTATTTATTTTCTAAGAAAGCCAATAGAACCTATTTGAGTCCAAGCGGCCTAGATAAAAATAAAGCTGGAAGTTGGCAAATAATTTCCTTTATTTAAAAAAATTAAATGTATTTTTAAAGCATCTCTAACATGCCATGGAGCTAAGAACTGGTAGGCACCAAGGCAGAAGTCCATACATCTGTTGGCACCCACTGGGTGCCACACAGCAGTTCCTAGGCTATTTCGTGGCATCTCATGATGCAGCTGCTACTGCTCAAAATCCTTTTTTGAACTATCTGATGGCTTCCTTCCACATACTGGCAGGCCAAAGCAAGCTATTAGAAATCCAATCTGGCAGACTGGACTTGTTTGAGCTGAAAAAAGATAGCAAAATAAAAATATTATTGGACAGTTTTATAGACGTGCAGCCTGCTAATTAGCATTGTTGAAAGAGCATACAAATCAGTTGGATTCAAAAACTATCTCAGGTTTCCCCGAAAATAAGACCAGGTCTTATATTACTTTTTGCTCCAAAAGATTATAGTCGGTACTAAATGTGTCTGTCTGGCTGATGATCTTAACTAGGGCTTATTTTAGGGGTGGGCCTTATATTACAAGCATCCTGAAAAATCATGCTAGGGCTTATTTTCCAGTTGGGTCTTATTTTGAGGGAAACACGGTATCTAAAAACAGGGTTTTTCAAACTTGGCAACTTTAAGATGCATGGGCTTCAATTCCCAGAATTCTCCAGCCAGCTGAGTTCTTTGCTGAGCTGCCTGGGGAATGCTGGGAGTTGAAGTCCACACATCTTAAAGTTGCCAAATTTGAAAAACTTTGAGCAACTAATCAATACCTTTAACTTTCTGTGGTGTAGATGGATACTATAAATCAGAATTTAAATATTGAAAAAAAGGATAAGAGAAATTCAGGGAAATTGCTTTGCTTTTCAGCTATTACACCCTTTTCTTTAGTCAATTCACAGACACATATATCCACACATATCACACCACCCGGATCAACACTCCTGCATTCTGGTAGACCTCAACTTACATCCAAACCTGAGCCCAAAATTTCTGTTGCTAAGCGAGACAGTAGTTATGTGAGTTTTGGCCCATTTTGCAACTTTTCTTGCCATAGTTTTTAAGTGAATCACCGTGGTTATTAAATTAGCAACAGTTGTTAAGTGACTCTCACCTCCCCATTGACTTTGCTTATCAGAAGATCACAAAAAGTGATCACATGACTTCAGGGCACTGCAACCATCATAAACATGAACCAGTTGCCAAGCATCCGAATTTTGATCATGTGACCGTGGGGATGCTGCAACAGTTGTAAGTGTGAAAAACATCATAATTCCCTTTGTTCAGAGCCGTTGTAACTTCGAACAGAGGGAGCCAAAATGTAGGCAGTGCAATCAAACTGCAACAGTCTGATTTAATGGAATAGATTAATATGCACAGTGCAGTGCTCAGATGTTCCTTCAAAACGCATGACCAAATTTTTGCAAAAAAGCAAATCACTGCATCCATTGCAATTTGTCATAGACCCCTGAAGTCCTGATTAAGCAGACCCCCATTTCACCCTCTTCCTGCCCTCCCAAAGGTCCCTTGAAGCTTTACCCCTTTGTTCTCCAGCTGCAGGATGCCTCGGAGAGAATCACGGATCTGAGTGAGCTGTTTTACCTCTTCTTCCTTAGCCTGGCGAAGCTAAAATAAGATTAGAAATTGCTAAGGACAAGCAAGTTGGAGCTATCCTACCACTCTAATGCACTCAAGCATTGCTCTCTTCAGAGACAAGATTACAGGATACAAAACAACATCAGGCCTTACAAGGAGCCAACGTACAGGTAGTCCTTGATTTATGACTAAAACTGAGCTCAAAATTTCTCTTGGTAAGCAAGACAGTTGTTAAGTGAGTTTTGCCCCATTTAACGATCTTTCTTGCCACAGTTGTTAAGTGAATCATTGCAGTTGTTAAGTGAATCTGGCTTCCCCATTGACTTTGCTTGTCAGAAGGTCGCAAAAGGTGATCACATGACCCCGGGGCACCACAACCGTCATAAATATGAATCAGTTGCCAAGTGTCTGAATTTTGAGGGGATGCTGCAAAGATTGTAACTGAAAAAAATGATCATAAGTCACTTTATTCAGTGCCACTGTAACTTTGAACGGTCACTAAATGAACTGTTGTCAGTCAAGGATTGTCTGTACATAGGTTCAGTAAATTTTGGGGAACAGAAAGTGGTTTGGAACAGAAAGTTTGGAACAGAAAGTGGCTCACATAACAGAAAAAATAAGGTTTCTTCCTCATTTGCCTGTATGGAAATTGATTTTTAGGTAGACAGCACCATCTACACAATGTGCCAATTAAATCATAGTGTTCCCCCCCTCGTGTCATTTTCCCCAGCTTCTCATCGCTGCCAACCACCATCCTTAATTCTTCAGAAAGTGAGTCAGGTAGAGAACTGTTCATCTTCCAGGTCTCCTTTGGTTTGAGCAAACAAAAAATGCTCTAGGGGTTTCATTTCAAAACAGACAAAAAAATCCCAAAGAAATAGGGCTTGTTTAGCGACAATTTTGGCAAGGGAAGTGCATGGCTCTTCTCCTTTCCAAAGAATAGTCTTTTCCCCAACATTCTTGTAATATTCTTGGCTTGGTTGAAATCCCAAAAGGAGACAGGAGGCAGGAGTCCCCTCCGTTGTATTTTTGGAGTTAAAAGAAAAGCATCTTGCCTTCAAAAAATCCCTGGATAATCTCTTGTTCTCCAGATGAAAATGCAGGGGAGAAATCATTCACACAAGCGTCTCCACTGGGCAGCTTGGTGGAGTATTTCAAGAACTCATTTGCAGTCAGACTGTTTCTCAACCTTGGCAAGTTGAAGGTGCATGGACTTCTCACATTCAAGGAATAAGCAGAAAAGAACAGAAACCCAAGTTCTGATGTGGGATTTGAAAGAAACATAGAAGGAGCACCATGCATGGAGAGGAAACCCAGAAGAGAACGGAAAGGGTATAAACATGGTATTGAATGGGTCAGGCTAAGCATGGCAAAAAAAAATAGCAACAGCAATAGCAACAGCAATAAGTACTTAGACTTATATACCACTTCACAGTGTTTTACAGCCCTCTCTAAGCGGTTTACAGAATCAGCCTATTGCCCCCAATAATCTGGGTCCTCATTTTACCAACCTTGGAAGGATGAAAGGCTGAGTGAACCCTGAGCCCGGTGAGACTCGAACTGCTGAACTGCAGATAGCCGGAAGTCAGCAGAATTAGCCTGCAGAACTGCACTCTAACCACTGCGCCACTACAGCTCATGCAGGTAGTCCTTGACTTATGGCCACAACTGAGCCCAATATTTCCATTGCTAAGCAACTAAGTAAGTTATCCCCAATTTATGACCATTCTTACCAAGTTGTTAACTGAATCACTTCAGTTGTTAAGTTAGTAACAAGGTTACTACATTCCAGTAGAGGTTCCCCAAGGATGGGTTCCAGCACGAATCCGAAAGCTCGGAAGACTAAATCTCTGATTCTGGTGACCGGCCCAGATTGGATCCTATTAACAGGGTTGTTAAATAAATCTGGCTTCCTCACTGACTTTGCTTGTCAGAAGGTCACAAACGGGAAACACATGACCCTGGGATATTCCAACTGTCATAAATACATGCCAGTTGCCAAGGTCCAAATTTTGATCACGTGACCATAGGGATGCTGCAATGGTCGTAAGTGTGAAAAACGGTCATAAGTTGCTTTTTTTTCAGCACCACTGTAACTTTGAACAGTCACTGATTTACAAACTGTCGTAAGTCAAGGACTACCCGTGCTTATTGAAAATCTAGCCACCCAGTCCTTTTCACAGCTAAGAAAGCCATGCTTGTAAGTCAAGAGCTGAACATGAGTTCATAGTCAGGTGAAAATCCAGTGACAACTTACTGCATGTAAGGAGGCGGCTAGTTTTTCGATGAATGGGTAGAGGTTCTGAGATGCCTTCCAGCCATCTTGGAAGAAACTGGAAACATTTTGAAATCAGCGGAGAAATATTTTAAAGCCAAGGATGGAGAAGGGAAAAAAAGAAAACATGAAGAGGTTAGCCTATTTGCTGCCACAGAAGCAGGTATTCAGCCACATTTCATATTGTTTGAAACAGCCTCGAGGACTTGAGCTCTACTCAAGAAGCCCATCGAAAGGAGTCATTCTGACAAACTGCAGACCCAACTCTGTAGTACACTTACTTACACAGAGCTGAAGAAGCTTCTTGGATGAGAAGTGAAACATCTTCAAAGAAAAAACAAGGAAGTCCAGTTGCCTCATGAAGAAGCATCTTTGGGATAACTATGGCCTGGATGACTGAGAATCTCCATAGACATTTAGCTATACACTTACTTATGTTGCGCATGATAAAACTTGATGAGACTCTGCAGAAAATCTGGCCCTTGCTTCATTTGGCATTCGTTGGCTTTCAGAAGATACTGGGCAAGAAAAAAGCAGATGAGAACAGCAAATTACAATCCAATGACAACAGCTTCTTCAAAATGTCAATACGTTGTTAGTAAAAGAGATACTGTGTGAGCCAACCTATCTGTTGTTCATTCACCATCTAGTTAGAAAATAGAACACAGAATAATAGGGAATGGAAAACACGGAAAGGTGGATTTTTACCTGGAGGTGGTTTAAGATTGCAAAGTTTTAGGTAACTAGGAAGATTTCCGAACAGTGGAATGTCGTGTAACAAAAATGACATCCATGGAAATTTCCTCACTACCTCCATGCTTACACAACCTTTAAACCACCATCAAAGCAAATTAAAAAGCAAATTTGAACATTAATGTTACTATCCCTTGGTGCCTGCAGCTTTCAGCAGAATGCTCAGCATGCAATGGATCAAAACTGCCATTCGGTCTTTCACAAGGCTGGGATCCTTTTTCCCATAGTACAATACATTCTCACAGACATGTATCCGTGGCAAAGAATCCATGTCCCATCTGGTCAGTTGAAGCATGCCAAGTCTTGTGAGAAACCAGAGCCATTTTAGAGTCAGACACAGCCCATTGTGCTTCCCCACCACCACTATCACAACTCCCTTCCCTCTTGAGAATGCAACCAAATGTTTCAGCTGGGGGAGATTTCACAGGGACACAATGAAAAAGCATTCAGCAAAGCTTCTGCCAGATGCCCCCAAATGTTGCAATGGGTGTCTTACAGAAAACCTGACAAGCAAGACTCAGTAACATCCCACAGGGGGAGGTGTTGGGTTTTGAAAACACTTCAGAGTGTTTTCTGTACAGCAGAGCTTTACAAGCTAAGACAGCAACAATATTTATGTCTTTCCCTGTCTTCCTGCCAACAGTGTGACTAAATAAGAGTCCAGAGAATTGGAGATTCAGAAATATTGGAGCCAGGATAAGCCAAGCAAAAGGCTAAGGGAAGGAAGGTGTGTTTGGGAAACTGACTTATTAGCATGGACATTCAATAGCTCTCATCTGCATTCTACTGTAGCACTTAACTGGAGGAAGGCCACTACAGTATAATTTTGTTTAAACTTAAACATAATACGTGACTGAGTTCTTGAGGATTTAAAGCTGGGTGTATACGTGCATGCATACAATTTCTCTGATTTGCAAAAGCAATCAATGACCAGGCCAGCTTACCCATATTGCCCCAAATATGGCTTATTTTATTACTTATATATTACTATTGACATTAATGCTAAGCAGAGAATTTTCTCTGCATTTCTTTGAATCAGCTGGCCAGTGGGCCACATGCAGCCCTGGACAGCTAGTAATGCGGCCCCACAAGATCGTAAACATTTAACATTACGATGTGATTTATATACATGAACTATATATTTCATAAGTGGCCCAAGACAATTCCTCTTCAGTCAATGCAACCCAGATTGGGCCCCCATGCTTCACACAGTTCTCACTTTTCTGGATTGAAATAAATTCGCTTGCACCCTCTCATTCTCAGGAGTAGAGAAATATAAAATGTGGCCTGGTGTTCTTGCCCTTATTTAATAAAGAGGTGTGTACAAAGTCCTGCTGCTCATTGTAATATCCCTGTCTCTGGTGTTCTGTGATCAATTTGGCTTCCGAATGAAGGCAAATATACCGGTATATGTCCCTGGATAATGTTGCAGGATCCAATCTGGGTCGGTTACCAGGACCTCAGAGGTTTAGTCTTCTGAGTTTTTGAATTTGTGCTGGAGCCCATCCTGGGGGAACTTCTCTCTTACCAGAATGTGTGCTTAGGGCTATTCTTATTCTTATTCAGTACGAAGTCCGAAAGCTTGGAAGACTAAACCTCCGCTCCCGTGACACCGAGATTGGATCCTGCAATTTGGCTTCCAAACATAAGAATTCAATCTCAAGGGCACACATCACGAAGGAACTCCATGGAGCTGCTTCCTTATTGGTGCTATATAGGTAGTCCTTGACTTATGACGGGTAGCTTAGTGACTGTTCAAAGTTACAAGGGACCCAGAAAAAGGTACTTACGACACAATTTCAAAGTTCTGCCACTCCTCCTCCACAGTCATGTGATGACATTTTGAATCCTCAACAATAGGAGGGGCATTTATATACCGCTATATTTTATTTATTTGCCCATTAGCGGTATCATGTGGTCACTTGACCTCAGTTTATTATGGTTTCAGGCAAAAAAAAAAAAAGCCCATTGCAGATAATGGCTCAGTTAAACACAGCATTTGCTTAACAACCATTGTGATTCACTTAACAACTGCCCTCCCAAAAATATGGTCAATCATGTGATGACCAGCTTAATGACTGGCACTATTTAATGACCATAATTCCAGGCTCAGTTATGGTCATAAGATGAGGCCTGCCTGTAGTTTTTATAAAGGCAAAATTGGAGAAAATAGAAAAAAATAAATTCAGAGAGATTTCCCAATTTGAAGGAGTATTTCAAAAGGTTGTTGGCACCCACCTTTAGCATATATCATGGTATATGATTCTTTGTGTGTGTGTGTGTGTGTTCGTTGTTGACTCCTGACAAGTGCGTTTCTTAAGAAAAGCAACTGCTTTTTTGCAACTCCCAGTGACTGCTTTTTGCAAGATTTTCAGAAGTGGTTTACCACTGTCTCCTTTCCAGGGTTGTAAGAGCATGATTGACCTAAAGTCTCTCAGCTAGCATCATGCCTAAAACAGTCTAGAACTCAAGGTTTCTAGTTTGATATCTTAATCTCTACATCCAACTGGCTCTCTACCAAATGATGGTTCTACCATCATTTTCACTTTTTTCTTCCAGACTCTCACAACAATCCTGTGAAGAAAGATCAAGCTGAGAAGGAACAACTGCTCCAAAATCATCCAGTTACCTTCTTGGCTGAGTAAGGATATGAACCTGCCCTTTATACTCTAGGCCAGAGGTCCCCAACCCCCACTCCGTGGACTGGCACCGGTCCATGGCATGCCAAAACCGGTCCGTGCAAACAAGAGAAGCCCCATCCACAGGATGCAGGCAGCATGTGAAAGCAGGCCCCCTCTGGTCCATGGAAAACTTTTTCTCACAGAACCAGTCCCTGGTGTCCCAAAGGTTGGAGGCCACTGCTCTAGGCCACTGTTTCATAACCTTGGCAACTTTAAGATGTATGGACTTCAACTCCCAGAATTCCTTAGCCAGGTTATGGAGTCCATACATCATAAAGTTGCCAAGATTGGGAAACATTGCTCCAGGCCAACCCTTTGTAATAGCAAGAGGAAATCTGGATTTTCCCACTGCCTCTTAAGATGACGACTCCTTTCCTGATTCTTGATTGTAGGCAAACCACAATTCATAATGTGCTTTATTTGGTTTTCGCTTAGGGCACTGAATGCAATACATATTGAAGAATTCAATGATCTGTGGCTAACTGTTAACCAAACTGAGTTTTACCTTTATCACCAAGGCTAAAAAGCACACAGCTGAGCCAGATCACTCAACGCAACATAATACTTGTTCCTAGTTCCTCTTGAAACAGGATGTCATAGACATTGAGGAAAGCCAGGCCAGGAAGGAAGGGTGCAAAAAGTACACAATAATGCGCAACATGGGCCAACCAATGGCATGGCTTAACCTACCACTGCTTCCTACATTTAGAATGCTTCCTACAGTTAGAATGCAGTATTGCAGGCTAACTTACTGCCCACTGCCAGGAGTTCGTCCTTGACTGGCTCAGGGTTGACTCAGCCTTCCATCCTTCCAAGGTCGGTAAAATGAGGACCCAGATTATTGGGGGGCAATATGCTGACTCTGTGAACTGCTTAGAGAGGGCTGTAAAGCACTGTGAGGTAGTATATAAGTCTAAGTGCAATTCCTAGTGCTACTTTTATCTGCTATATTATTATAATCATGGGGACTGCCAAGCAGCAATCTAGTCTTCTTTTACTTTACGGTAAGACTTTTTACTCATTTTTATTCAGCTGCCCAGAGTCACCTTGTAGGGGAGAGGGTAGCATAAAAATGTAATAAACAAACAAACAAACAAATGTAGTCCTCGACCTACGACCACAATTGAGCCCAAAATTTCTGTTGCTAAGCAAAACATTTCTTAAGTGAATTTTGTCCCATTTTATGACCTTTCTGCCACAGTTGTTAAGCGAATCACTGCAGTGGATCAATTAGTAACAGGGTTGTTAAGTGAATCTGGCTTCCCCACTAACTTTGCTTGTAAGAAGATCACAAAACATCATAAATATGAGTCAGTTGCTGCTGTTGCAACTTTGAACGGTCACTAAATGAATTGTTGTAATTTTAGGACTACCTGTAAGTAAATACAGTTACCTTCCTTGTTTAAAGAGCTAACCCTAAACCTGGCTTTAAAGCAGGTGTGTCCAACCTGTAACCCACAAGATAATAAAAATATCTTTAAAAGGAAGCTTGCTATCTAAATACATTAACTATATTATGTGCTTCATATGCCGCCCAAGACAACAATGTCTTTTCACTCAATGTGGCCCAAGCAAGCCAAAAGGTTGGACAAAGCTTCAGTTGAACAGTAGGTGGCAGCACTCAACCAATCGTATCTCAACTAAGCAAGTCAGGCCCTGATCTAGGTGACAGTCATTCAAAGAAAGTCAGGTTTGCAGACTAGACCAAGTTTAGAAAAATGTGCAAAAAAAGGCAATGATAAACCTTGTCTCTATTATTGCCAAGAAATAGGTGTCCATAAAGTTATTAAGTTAAGAAGATTTTACCTTATTTTTTTCCAACCTACCATCAATCTCAGATGCTCTGGAACGACAGATCCTAGAATCCAAAACCAATGTACCCGATGACTGGGAATATGGGGAAATATAGTTCTAACCCATTTAGTATATGCAACATGAAAGAAGGCTGATATACACCCTTCTCATCTATGGCTGGATTCCATTAGAGTTCATGTATGACTTCCACTGGGGTGCCTCCCCACTGCAAAATCCAGCTGCCTTGGCACTCATCTAAGTCCTTTACATGAGTTGGCCAGATCTAATCA